TATACTCACACACACGCACACACACACACACACACACACACACATATATATATATGTATATATTATAGGTTACGTATTTGATTAATGATGTGGATATAAACTTAGCTTTATTGTATATATAATTTATACACATCTGTATGTATATATCTTTCTACACATATGCACGTGCGATATAAATACGTATGAACCATACACTCCTTTATATTCAGTTATAGTGTGGTGCTTTCTCGTATTTGTTTAATCTTACGTATTATCAAATTGGTTAAAATAAAACAAATATCATGTTCCTATATGTTTACACAAATGTTCGAACTCTCAAATAAAAGAGTATAGAAATTTCGAATCTGATAACCAAGGGAATGACGAGTACGATTCCAGGCCTTACATTCAAGTTGGTCATAAGATATAGTACAATTAAATGACATACCATGACTTTTGTAAAGTCGACGGAATTGGTCGGGGTACCATCGTTATCCACTTGTACTGATGATACTTGTTGACAGAGAGTGATGCTCTTATTATTATGTGTGATAATCTTGGCGGCTCCTGTATGTTTATCACCTGTCATTGTTAGAGAGCTATAATGACCAATGCTGCGGACTGTACTTGCATATTATTTAATTAAAAAAAATACTAAATAGAAAATAGTATCCTAAAGAAAAGAGGTTATGCTATGTATGCAATGCTAAAAAAGATTTTTAGAATTCACAAATTGTTTACGGTTGTGGGCAAAGGGGGGGGGTAAGGTTTAAAGTAAATAAATTGTATTACATATTTAGTAGGCTATGGAAAAAAAACAACATATGTACTTAAATAGGGCCTTAGGCTGTACTGCCGTAGCCCTTCTTTTTTTTGAATATATTTAGGCCCGCCCCGTAGGCGGTCGATATTGTTGTTTGTTTTTATAAAAATCAACAAAAAAAGTGTAGAGGAATTTTAAATATTTAAAAATAAAAGTATTCATGTATGTACATAATTACTACAAAAGTCAGAAGATCACTTTATTTTTTGTTGAAGGTGTTAGATGTGACACTCAGTGACAAACTGATAGGCCTGATTAGTAAAAATTCCATTTTATTTTTACAAAGTACGTAAAAATGTGCACCTAGGGCGGTATGGCCCACCTGCGTAAAAGCCGAAAACGAAAGGGCAACTTTCAAGGCACGTCGGCCCTTTTTTACGTTTTTTTAGATTCGCCTTGAGTCACAGATCCTTGCTATCCCAAAATATATATTCAGGCGGTGTCTGATTTTCGATTTTCGGACCGGCGTGTGTGGGACTCTTCACTGCTAAATAGCAGTAACTTGGAGGGCGGAGTAGGTCTTGTGCTCGGAATTGGGAATATTTCTCAGGAGACGTTGGAGTTGGGAGAAATTTTCCCCTGTCGCTGTCAGTCGTCAGATCACTGAGCTGACAGATTGCAAAGTCTGTTTTGCTTTAAAAGATAAAAATAAATAAAAGAAGGCATGTGCTACCGACCTATTTTTATGCAAAAAATACTACGTGTTGCACACACTCTCACACAAGAAGAGTCCAAAGTGATAAAGTCCAAACAAGAAACAACAAGAGAAAAATTAAGAGTCCGAAAAATTAGTCCGGAAATGCATAAGGCGGTTCGGATGTGCTTCCGTGTTTTAGGGTTTATTCTGAACCCAAAATCGAGGGTGAGGGGGGGGGAGGGGACTTATGACTTAAAATATTGACCTGACCCTGCTCAGGATCACCTCAGCAATACGGTTTCAACTGCTCAAGCTACTTTATTATAAATTATATACTGATAACTATATACGTTTATAATAAGAGTTGAATAATCTACAGCGATTGGAAGGAAAGCTGCGCCAAAAAGAAAGTGTCTAACAAGCACCGATTTCAAAACCAATACATATGTACTGTAATAAAAGTGATATTGCCGGTTGTATGATGATTTATAAGAGTATTTAGAACCCCGAGACTGATGCGTAGGGCCCAAAAAAGTGTATATGTACTACAGAGGTTTTTAGGATTTTCTAAACCCTAACCCCTAAACCCTATATGTCCAAAGTGTGTCTCAAGTCCCAAATTACAGGGGGGCGGGGGGCGCGCCTAAAACACGGAAGCACATTCGAACCACCTAAATATATAATTTATATAAAAATATATAAATGTTGTTTTGTAAGGCCGGACTTGCCAACTTAAAGAAATATTGAGAAAATACAGCCCTAATAAATATTCAGGTATATTTTGGTATATTTGCTCTATGAAATATTGGGGCCCCATATTTCATTAGAATTTGGAAATTCATATGCGATTGTATTTGAGATATTGTTGAATATTCGCTCAGTATTTTGATACTCTCAGTTGGCAAATGCACGAATACACACGATATTCTATATGGAGCCGAAAAAGCGACGCCGCTTTTGGATTGGTACATATTAACCCGAGCCCTCCCATTGGCAGTAGTTTTATCTAAAAAATAAAAATTCATTCTCTACCATAAGTCAAAAAGAGGGTCTACCCTCTT